TAACGCGGCTAATTGTCAGCGTACGGTTTAATTACACTGCATAGTGAACCCAAAAGCCATAAATGTCAACCGGGGGGATGGGGGAACGGGCGCATGCTGTGTCCGTTGGGCAATAACGATTATTGTTGTAGTCTCTTCTTGATGCGTTCAGACAAATTACATCGGTACCTAATTGTCGCGGTCGCGACAAATATAAATTTTTCATGAAATCCGTTTAAACCTAGTTCTAAGAGACAAGGGTCTCGTGTTATCTCGTAGTTCGTGTCTTACGTGACATTTAAATTAAATCCGAATGACGATGGAAAAATGAAAATAAATTCGCATATTTCATTCGCTTGAAAACCGTTGAATTACTTGTTACATCAACATTTCATTTTCCAACGCTCGTAAAAAAAGTTTTTCTACCGTCAAAATTTCTGTTATCTATAAAATAAAACTTGCGGCGAATACCTCCCGTGTTCAGATTTCGAGACTTAATTATTAAAAATGTTAACCACAAAAGGGTTACAGATTTTCGCGATTTCTATCGGTTGTTGTCGACATTTTGAATTCAAACATTTGTAAAAAATTTTAACTTTTCGTATTTTATATTTTTTTCTACGCAAGTGAGAAATAGAACTATGTTTTAAGTGTTGAAGATTTTTTTTTAATGAATCACTGTTGTATTATCGATGTGATCGTTTTTTGTATTCTCTGCCGCGCACCCACACAAATCACGTTTCTTATTAGAAACCATTCTTCTTCTTTTAACAATCCGGATATTCCTTTTAGTCGAAATCGCATAGACAGGCGTACACATATACAAAAGAAACACATATCACGTATAAATACATTTCTCACTCCACCTTGAAATCAAAAACTTTCACGTCAAAAATTACTATACTTAAATGTATTGCTTATTTAAAGTAATTTTTTTTTTTTTTTTTGTATCGTCTTGATAATATATTAAAGTTTCATTGTATAAACTATATAAGCCAGATCTAATTTGCTAACTAATAGGAATAAAGAGTGGGACCTATGTTGTTTATCAATATCATGGTATACGCACTTCTGCACAATGCTAATCGTTGTTCATTAATATGAGACGATATCATAACGCGAGAGAACATTACATTCCATAGAGATGATATACTCCTATACGTTCTGATTGGATAGCCTAAACAACTGATGACTTATATTCTTGTACTTGAAAATGCCCAACCCACGCACAATAATTTGAAAAAACATATTCGAAGAATATCATTTGATTCATACGTTTGTATTATATTTCAATATTTATAAATTAATATATTATCGTTTTATTTGTAAGCAAACGACTCAATAAAAAAAATGTTCATAAATCGATGTGTAATGGTAATTCATCGCAATCGCAAGAATAATCATAATATTATTTTATAGCACCATTACATTCCACTCTTCCGTCGTAATCTTCCTGTTCGGGGATCAAATGGCAACGTCTTACTGATATATTCTATTAATACCGAAGGGACGACGGTCATGCGCGGGCTGTGATCAACAAAGCATTAGTACGAACTCGGACCCGCCGGAATTAGATACACAAATGGGAGCGGTAGAGGTTAAAAGATAAGATTATACGCGTCGTACATGTTTTTTTCTATTGGAATCAAATCGTACGCGTCGTACAATATATCTTTCATTTAATACTCGTATGTTTTAAGCGTTTGCACGTGTTATCGATAATAACGCAACTATTTCTATCACTAGTCGCTGTTATACGACTCTCGTAAGAGATCGAGACGACGTCACACTCATGAGAACATTTTATCAGTCAAAAAAATATTACGTTTGCGTAGTTTGTCAACACATATTCATTAATTAATTCGGATCCATCAGCGTTCACAGCGACATCACGGTGAATGTTCGCGATTCGTTGACGATCTAACCGTATTATTTTAAACATCCGTTTCTGAGCGAACAGTATGTATTTTTTCTCGGTACCTCGCCAATCTTATTTGATCGGTTCACGACCACAATGCGTATTGTATGTAAAACAGCGATTAATTATAATTAGTTAATAGTTATTATTATAATTATTGTGACGGTCGGGGGGATAAATAGGACCGTGTCCAAGAGACACGTTAAAAAGCCAACAAATAGTTTTTTTAAGGATACTCGAAACCTTAACCCTGGTTTGACGGTCCGCGAACAGTGTTGGGAATAGATAATGCAAAATTTATCTAGATAAAGATAAAAGATAATTTCATATTAATCTAGATAAAAAAAAAGACATTTTCAAAAAATGTTATTTTTTGGTCAATATTTCATATTCAAATAATATCTATGACGACTCAATTATAACCATAATTATCAATAGGTACCTAGGTGTTTAATGTTTATTGTAGTAATGTAGTGTACCATTAAGCAGTATTTATATATAATGTACAATATAATATGATAGTTAAATAGTCTAAAATATTACATAAAAAAAAAAAAAAAATGAAAATTGCTCTGTACGTATCAGGATGAAATACAGAATACATAAAAAATTATTTTAAGTTAACAATATATTTTTCCATATAATATTAATTTGATGATTTTTATTATTCTATAAGTAGTTACGACTTTACGGGTTCAAAAAGTGAATTAATGACTATTCAGTATACTAAAATCTAATACCTACTATATTTGGAACTTCCATGGAAAAATAAGAAATTAAGTTTAAAAATACCAAAAATATTTTCCCGACATGAAAATACAAACAAAATGTCATACCAATAAATAATAATTATTTATTAATAATGCACGAATTATGATTATGAATACAAAATCTATATGTATAAAAGAAAGTCTTTATTTACAGAATTTATAATTCAAAAACGGCTGATCCGATTTTGATGATCTCTGATTTCTTGGAGTCGTCTCCGTACACGAATGAAAATAACTCTAATCTTGGCAAGAACACAGACAATTATCTAGATAAGTAAAAATTTTATCTTAGATAAGTAATTAGATAACTTAGCGTTATTTATCTAGATAAGATAAAATATGACAAAAAATCCATCAAGATAATTTATCTATATAAGTCCCAACACTGTCCGCGAATCGACGACGATTGTGGCTGCACGGATGGCATGCGTAGAGTTACGCCCAGTAGAAACCGTAATGAAATAACCGTTTGTTGAAGATTTTTTTTCAATGAAAAAAACAACCATTCATGTGAATATTCGTAGAAGTAATTGTAGGCTCCTTTTAAAGTGTGTTAGATTTCCTGTGGCAAGCCGCGCGTGAAACTTTCAGTGCATATTTACTGCAAACGAAAACGTGTTTACGACAGGGAACAAACGGATCGCTGTGGCACAATCGTTGCTGATATCAACGTCGGCTCGCTGCGATGCTGCAGGACCGTGTTCGGAAGCGGTTGACCGTGGCATGATCCTGCGTCACCTAATGAATTCGTTCGGACACGGACGTGATGAATTCACTTTTTTGGATACGCTGAACACGTCGACGTGCTGCAGAAAACAGCGGTTTCGAGCGAGCAAAACGATACGCAGAACGTTACGACGTGGTGTACTTCTGGAAACACGGTTCGTAACGGGGTGCGATGACGGTGTTTCACCAGGAGTCGGACCCTCGCCGTCCCCGGACGAAACACCACGGGGTCGTAATAATTAAAAAACCAAGTACGTATATTGTTTTATATGCGCGTGCCGCACGCGAATGCCGTGGGCAGTGGTTCGTACGTCGACGGGGCGGTGCATTGATTTTCGTACTTAACTGGTCTTGACCCTTGCACGACGGGTGCACCGCACGCGGTCGAATCGTCAACAAGTCTTCGGATCTCGGACCACCGTTAATGCGGTCATCGTGTCGCACTTACAATTGCGAACGGATACTCTCTACTGCCAACCATCGCGATAGTCGGGGGAGTGATCCGATTCACGGCCGCTGTCGTTTTACATATGCAAATCGCATAATACGCGTCCGTTCAACCGTGTGGTCCGCTCTCCCGCCCCTAATTAAAGGGATCACCGCTCGGTTCGACCGGCAACCGGGATTTACTACTCGTTCGTGACGAAAACAACGAGAGTAATACACTGCCGCGGTAATAACTTAATAAATTATTACCGCCGTCGTCAAACGATGTTAACGCGTTCGTCCGCCCCCGGCTACGCCGATAAAATATAGCTATTACGTGACGTCAGCTTAACAACCGTTTTTGAAAAATAACATATTTTTATTCGTGCGCAATCGACGAAACCGCAACACATGTAAATCGAAATGAACCATGGGAACTCGCTCTTCGTGAATGTTCCGCGGTTCTAACGAGTGATTCCGTAAGTCGTTTGCAATGCGATTTAGCGGAACACGTGGAACAACGCATTTCGAAGTGAAGATTTTGAAACGATGTGTACACCGTATCAAGACACTTCTTTCACGCTTGGGAACGACGCGTGAAACAAGAGGCTCGGACAGGAGGATCATAAAATAAATATATTGGAAAAGTTTAAGTGTCCACAAACAACGACAAACAATGTATCATGTGTTTGCGCGACGAAATTAAATAATTATCGGACACCGTGGGATCGGGTGTCGGCGACCAGCGTGAACGCAACACGTCGCGTTCAACGATAATACTATTTATATTGCGGACCGTATTAGATCGGACCGAAGTGTTGCAGTGCGTTCCGTGTTGAATCCGTTCGAAACGGCTTTTCGACGCGTGCCAAACCGACATGGCCGTTCGAACGGGAGGGAGAGAGAGAGAGAGAGAGAGAGAGAGAAAATAATAATAAAATATCGACATGAATCACCCGATTCCCCGCCGTCGCTGCGTGCGTATAATATTTACTCAGGGCCGACGTGCGCAAAAGTCGCACTCCCTCCCCGCCGGGGTCGGCGCTGATAAATAACAAACGCGTATGCGCTGAGAGTCACGAGCGTTTAAATACCGGACGGGGGGACGACGACCGAGGGTGGCACCTCTCCGACACAAAAGCGGAGACACGGATTCTGCTCTTCGAGTTCATTGTGTCGCTCCCCCGCTACCCCACCGGACGTCGACATCCCTAAATGTTCAACCGGACTCGGCAGTCAACTGGCTGGCGGAGGGTCACCACACGCACCCCCGACGACGATTTATAGGTTAGTCGGTTTTCGGGACCCGGCCCGCTACGACACACTCCGGTGAACCATGTCCGCGTACGATTGGGATTCGCGCGAGTTGCACGCGCATCACCATCAGCAGCAGCAGCAGCATCGGTTCACCGTCGGACCTCCGCAGACGGATAGCAAAGGTGAGTTGCGCGCGTTAGGCTTACTCGGTTCGGGGCAGAACCGACTGCGGAACAGGGATGTTGCGCGGAAACTCGGGACCGCGGAACGTGCGTGAATGTGTTTGTAAAGCGATGGCGCGAACGGTTGTTTCAGGGGGCAAGAGGTCCAGGCAAACGTACTCCAAGTACCAGACGGCCGTGCTGGAGACGGTGTTCCGGACGTCCAAATACATTGTGCGCAGCAAGAGACAGCAGATGTCGGCCGAGTTGAACCTCACCGAACGGCAAATAAAGATATGGTTCCAGAACAGACGGATGAAGGAGAAAAAGTGTCACAGGGATGCGCCGCGAGTGGTGGAGGAACGCAGTGTCCCTGCGGTCACGGCGTTGGCGACCGGTTACGGTGACGATTACGCTGTCGATCCCGCGGGCTACTTAGCGGCTGCGCCGACCAACAACAATCTGCAGGACGATGCGTTCGCCGATTACCGCGGCCCCGAACCGTCCTCCTGCAAACTCCAGGATGACGGCTGTTACGCCGGTTACCCGACCGGTGGCTACGATTTGCTGACCCCCGAACCGGCAGACACGTACGTCAAGCAGCAATGGCAAGCTCCGGTGACCGCGGTTGACTTTCACCAGGACCTCTACGGTGACGTGAGTGCATATAACATTAACGTTCTGTTACGTCGCACTCGAACTAATCGTTCGATGTATCGTTTCGTATTCCTCGAGGAGGATACCGCATTATGTATTATGCATTATTTGTTTTGACGTACATTTTTTATCCTCGCAGCACGATTTGGGCCATTTCCAAAGACTTCCGGTGACGCATCACCTCCATCATCACCACCGCTCGTTGAACTCACAAGTAAGTAAAATCAGTATAACGAGTAATTTTATATGAATAAAAAAAATCAATATCTTAAGAAAAGGGATGTTTGGTATTATTATATATTGCATTTTCAACATTTCTAAAGCGTGAAATATTCCGAGTTATTCGTGAATGTTTATATGTTTTCCGAGCTCTTCGTACTATCGGATAAGGAAGCCAATAGAAACAAACAGTTACTACAAGTTAATGTGATGCACTTGCGTCCGATTGAACCCGTGTTAGATACGCATAGTATAATACGTTTAATCGACTAGACTTGCAAAACGAGTGTTTTCTGAACACACCAGAAAATCGTGTATGTAGAACGACTGTTAAATGTAAATTACCTTTTACGGGGGCAGATTCAGATCCAGGTAACGGTAAGATGGAGGTAAGAGGTTTCTTTGAAATTCAAAAGGCACACTTAAATCGTTGCCCTGTTTGTACCAATGTTTAAAATAGGTTTAATTGGTTTTGAATACATTTTAAATCGTGGAGAGATACACGTAGAAATTCTAAATCGCTCCGAATTTGAAATATAATAAAATTCACCGAGAACGGGATACCTAAAATAATTGTAAACGAAAATCGTGTGGTTTCGCAGGTTCACGACTACTGCGGTCCGCCACAGCTGCAAGCTGCGCACGGCTATTGACGGCATCCGACGATAAATTTTATGTTCCCGCACGCGTTCTCTGACGTGCGGCAGTAGTACACACGGTGCTAAGAATCTAGTCGATCTAGTCAATCTCGTTTTATTCGGATAGCGTTCAGCGGCGGGACGATAACAAACATTTGCAGACATGATGCTCGGGTGAGGGATGAATATTCTAAGAGTAACCAGAAACAGCGACGTCACAACGGAACCCTTTCGCGAATCGGATCGCACCCATCCGCGTAATTCCGTGACCGGATCTCGTACGAGAGACTAGGCGAAAAGTGTATAATTTTTTTTTTTTTTTTTTTTATCATTATTATATATTATTATAATTTACAAAACTCTAAATCAAAATTATTATTACAAACGAATATATTGTATGATATAAGAGAACCTATGTAATTATAAAATAGTTTGTGCGTGCGTGTGTATGTGTGTGTGTGTTTTACAATTCAAATATATAACTAATTATTAATATTTATCATCGTTTGAATTGTACTTTTACGGTAACAGCCACATCGTACGTTTGGCAGATTTATCGTCCCCGTAGAACCGCCGTACTGCAGCGTAAGGGTACTGTACATAGTTGTATTGCGACACGTGAACATATTGTCTCTTCCGCGGGCACGTACGCGTTGCTCCTCTCCCGCACGACCATTTGGACGCAAGCAGCTGTCCCTGTCCATACATACGCGCGTGTACAAACGTACCGCGGTCCCAGGTAAGCCGAGGGTTATACTTGTATGTTGGCGGTCGTGGCCGAGAAAAACCGAACGGGTCAATACGGTTTTAGGTATTTTCTCCTGGACAACGCGATACGAAAAGCGATATTACGCTTCATTCGTCGTTATTATTATTACTGTCGATTCGATCTTAACACATTTCGCGTTCCTTTCGGATCGACGCTCGCGAGACCTATGATGATGAAAAGATTGGGGAGGGAGAAAAAAAAATGGAAACAAACTATTCGTTCGAGCAACGAGTGCGTTCGTCTCTGTAATCGCAGCGGTGTATATTATTATAATAAAAGTAATAATAATAATATATGTATAATAATAATACAAACAATACAATGCAATAGGATTTTAAATGTAATAAAATAATTTTGCACCTGTTGCGCGTACGTGGAACGACCGAGACGGTGGTGACGGTGGTGACGGTGGTGACGTTCGCCGGAGCAGTCGCGAACACGTGGAGAGGTGATGAGACGTCGTAAGACGGACGCGCGACAACAGAGTAACGCCTGAGGTGGATCTAGGAGGAGGGTTCAGGAGGTCAGCTGACCCACAGTTAATATTTGTTGACAGAATTTTCCTCTCGAAGACGTCTTACATTTGTGTGCCGAATATTGGCCGAAATCAATACTAGACTGGAGAAAATGTCCCACTTGTCAACCCTTTCCCTACCACAAATGACGGCACTAGTTCAATTGTGTAGTGCAGTAAAACATTTCCATGCCGGATCCTATGTAAGATGGAATCATCCAAAAAATAAACGTTAATGTTTTCAACGATGAAGAAAATTAATATATAGATAATATCATACTAGGTGACCCGACAAACGTTGTTTTGTCATATAAATTATTTTTAGAGAATATTTTGCTAGAAAAAAATAACTAATTTAATAAAGGCATGTAAGGATGTGGGTAAGGATAAGGATGTGAGGAAGAGGTATGGAGTGCTATGAACGGTGATGAAACTTAAAAATGAAAAAACATCAAACATTTATTTTTTTAATAATTTATTAAAATTGATCCATTCAAATTACATATATCGCTAATTATGACAACATGAGTAAAAAACAATATCTATCCCTTAATGCAACAGAGTGTACAATATTTTTTGTAATCCCATCTTTCGCCAACACAAACTGGATGGTTCGAGAGCACGTCACGTATAATTGTCCGCGTGAAAAATATGATGTGCTCGAATCCAAGCCACAGACAGACATCGTTTGGCCTTGAGACTTATTGATAGCCATTGCAAATGCCAATCTAATTGGAAATTGAAGGCGTTTAAATTGTATTGGCACACCTGTAGGTATAATAGGAGGGATTCGCGGTAATAATATATTTTCACCTTTTCGTTACAATTTGTACGTTTATAATCCAGTTTCCGCCCTGACAAGCGGCGTCTTAAATAAACCCGACCCCCACAGTTCTCCAACTGCGGGCTCGCCCCCGAGCAACGCGAGTACCCGCACTCGACGGCCGTGCCGGTAATTGTTCCGAAACGATGGCGCGTGCGTGATGTAACGTCAAGTTTTTTACCAAGTAAATACGTAACCAAGCGAACGGAAAACGAAAACTGCGGGGAAAAACACGATTTTCCGACCGCGAAACGTTCGCGCGACGATGTGCAGTAACGATGCTGACCGATAAACACGTATACACGATACGCGATCACGAACTATCGTGTTGTACGGTCGTTAAGCGAGTTCCAGTGGTATATATTTATTTTATTTTTTTTTTGGGGGGGGGGGGGGGATATTAGGGACATTTGACTTTAAAATCCGTAGGATGTATAGCCGATTCTGTTGCGTGGGTTTCGTGTCGATGAGCACGTTTGACAAACACGTAGAGATTTAGTCCTCGCCGAAAAATGATCGTCCCGAGCGCACGCGTGCATGTGGGTCACCGCGCGATGGCCGATTGTTGCGACGTCATCGTTGCGCCATGACGACTCGGCGAAAAATCGCGTCGGGGAAGAAAAAAAAACCGAAATGCGAAACAGCGATGGAGAACGCGCGGCGGCGATCGGCCGACGCGCATTAAAAACACATTTACGATTTTGTACGGGTTTCGCACAACGCGGCCGGACAATAAACAACGATGATCCGTACAGGCCGACGGGTAAGTTAAACGTATGTACGCGGGTGCACATCGTAACGCGCGCGCGCGCGCACGTGTCTTACTGTTTCTCTCGCCGCGATCTCGCTTTTCCCCAGCAAGTGCAACCGTTTTTCGTTTTTCCATTCCGATCCGTCCGCGGCTCGTTAGAAGACGCGTGATTATGTTGTGCTTTCGTTGATCAGTACACTTCTCGAGGCACCTGGTGGATACGAACACGTATTCGTACACGTTCAATCGCCGCGGGCTCGATTCGTCTTGCACACGTAGCGTTTCAACCTAAACAATTTCCCGCGATCGCGCGCACGATTATCTGTCAACCTAACCCTGTGTCACTGGTTCATCCCACGTAAATATGCGCGTTTCGTTCGCGGTGATCGACATCCGGCATTGTTTTCGCTCTCTCGACTTTTTAACCGACCTCGGTTTTGTACGGCAGCAGGATGTACCTGTGTACGTGTTCATAGTTTGTCGGTAAAAACTAAACAATATTTGCCTACGTACAAGCAATTTTTACGTACTCTCATTGAACGCATTTTCGCGTCAACAATTAAGGTATACATTTCAAAAATCTATTAGTGAAACATTAATCGTAAGCCACTCGTAGTAATAACAATAATAATAATAATAAACCCTCGGGTTCCGTTATTATCAGTTTTCTAAAAAAAAACGTCATACCATTTAAGTAAACATTGACTGCCGGAAAAAGAGTGTACAGAAAACAAAGAGTAACTCTAATAGACTATCATTACATATTTTGATTCGCTCAGAGTATACAACTAATAATACATTTATATATTTAATATTAAATTAATATACCTAATACAATTAAATTTATGTTTTTCAATATTAATTGTTAAAATAAATAACCTATTAATAATTCAGCCGTTTTACTAACAAAACGTATGTTTAAATATAACATTCTAAAAGCCTTCAAATATTTTGTATAATTTTATGAGACAAAAAAAACAGCAAAAAATAGAAATACATTTCAAAAGGTCTAAAATGAATCGTAAGTGCCTGGTCAAATTTAGGATGACTTGATCATATTTTATAATTTATATCTACGTAGCGTAAATTGAATCAAAACGCTTTGACGGCATATGTTACGCTGCAGGACGTTCGGTATGTTGAAATAATAATAAATATGATGTCTTTGGCGGAAGAATGAAAATTCTACTGTATTGAATTCTGAACGATTTAAAAAAAAATTCCATCATTTGTGCACAATAAATGGCAATCAATAATACGTGATTTTTCACCAAAAAATATTTGTTCAGAACTTTTTTTTTTTCTCCTATTCGTTTTGGCTACTGCAGAGAGAGCTGTACACGTATGTGTAAATATATATGTGTGTGTGTGTGTGTTTACGTTTCAAGAACAATATAAAACTCGGACGACAGTGTCGCAGCAGTCGGCGGTAACGGGTAGTTCTTCTTAATGGTTTTCCGGGACGATCCCTGCGGAAACACTGTGACTAAAACGTTACATTCACGTCCACCCTGCGTTACGAATCAGCTGCTGCCCCTTGTTTTTTTGAGCACCCTGAGCAAATAAAAAATAATAATATTAACACACACACACACACACACAGGCACACACATATATATATATGTATACAACAATGACTGATGATCGTCCTAATCGACCACACGCACGTCGTATTATCATAATATACGAGTACATACACGCGCACACACATACAGGACGCAAAATTAATATTAATCGATTCTGCAGTAAAGGTGGAATTGTAAACAAACATAACTCGTCTACCTAACGCAAAGAGATAGTACACACGCAGATCCGGACGGCGTTAATCAATTCGCGTTCACATTCGTTTAAGTCTCTGCGAAAGTTGCCGCGATACGAAAATAATCGCAACAACTGCGAGCGCCCGGACAACGGCGACGAAAAAAAACCATAATAATACAACAACAATAAAATACGGTAGGGCAGTTGTGTTGTGGTTGGAGGGTGGTGGGCGCGCGTTGGCGGACGTCAGGTTTTCGATACATTCTGCGATAATAATAAATGCTCGCGGACAGCGTTATTGTAAATGATGTAAATATGAAAATTTCTCTGGCGGTTAATCTCGCAAATAAAAGAATGGGGTGGCCGCGTCGGGTCCATATCACGCGCATACACCGCACGTCGTTTCTGTGATAAAGTGATTTCGATCATATACAATACGTGCACCGAGGGATGCGCGTGTTCATAAACATTCTATCGCCCGGCTGCAACGAATAAACGATAAAAACGTATAATACAATAATGTCACCGTAAGTTTTGTACGCGCGTGCGCATTATATAGAAATCCCTTTCCGACAAGACTTCACTATTTATATGTAAATGATTGCTGTTGCAGCGTCGGACCGTATGTTGTGCTTACGCAGTAAAACGAGTGTAACTGTACTCGCGCAGCACACGCACGACGGTGTGGCGCGAACATTAGGATTTCAAACATTTTGTGTCTTTCGCGTGTCGCAAAA